TACACCAGAAGAGGGCGCCAGATCTCATTATAGATGGTTGAGAGCCACCTCTGGAAGAGCACTAAGTGCTCTTCTGAGCCATCTCTCCAGCCCAAATAAATCTGAGAGAGAGAGAGAGAGAGAGAACGAGAAAACGAGCACAGCCAGTGCTCTTAAACGCTGAGCTATCTCTCCCCAGAAGTTCACACTTGTAACACAGAGAGAGGGGTTGAGATAAGGAGGATCAATTTGAGGTCAGCTTCAAAAAATAGTGAACTTCAGGGAGCATGGTTGTAGAGTGAGAACTTGTCTCAAAACAAAACAAAAACTAGGGTTAGGGAGATGGTTCAGTGGGTAAGAACACTTTCTATATAGTCATGTGGATCTAAATTTGAATTCCCAATACTCTTTTTAAAAATCCAAAGATGGCTACATATGCATGTAACCTCAGTGTTGGGATGGGTGGTGACAGATGATTTCTAGGAGTTTCCTGGCCAGGCAGCCTAGCCAAAACAGATTCAGATTCAGTGAGTGGCCTGAATCTGAATCTGAAAAATCTCTTAAAGAAATAATGCAGATAATAATAGTGTGGAAGTGCACACCTGTAATCTCAGCACTGGGGAGATAGAGGCAGGCAGATCTCTTTGAGTCTGATGCCAGCCTGGTTTACAAAGAGAGTCTAGGACAGCCAAGGCTTCATGTGGAAACCCTGTCTTGAAAAACAAAATAAAACAAACAAACAAAATAATAGAGTAATAGTTGAAGAGACCTTATATACCCTGTACCTCTCTAGCCTTAATATATGTACACCTGGACATGCAACACACACACACACCTACCTTCCTAGCCTTAACATATGCATATATGGGCATACAAAACATACACACACACATACCTCTCTAGCCTTAACATATGCACACATTGGCATGCAACACACACACACACCCAAAAAAATAAAAAAAATGAATTCCTAATGCTTAGAGGATAATTAAGCACAGCACTGTGTGTATACTTGGTATCTGAGAAGGTTGGTACTATATGTTTCAAGTAGGTTTGAGGGGTACTGATGGGAGATGGCAATGTTTAGAGTAAGGGCATGTTGAGAGGATGTCTGATATGAAGAATTTGGCAGCTTTGTTTGAAGGAAAGCAGAGAGAGGGGTGAGAAAATATTTGAAGTTGGCTGTAGGAATTAATAATTTACCCCAGAAGAAGATAAGGGAGGGCTATTTATATTAGGTAAGGACATCAAGTTCCAAAAGAGAAGTCATCTGTGTGAGTATTTAGGCAGTCTGCTTCTGGGTTGCTTAGCAACCTGATGTTATCATATGTCCCCTGCCTGGTAGATGCATCTGGCAGGCACCGGTCAGCTGTGCAGGAACTATACATGGACCCCTGCCTCTTACCTCTCTCTCTTGCTCCTCTCTTGCTCTTGTGCTCTTGCTCTCTCCCCTTTCTCTGTTGGAAAGTCCCCTCCCCTCCCCCATTATGTCTCTCTCCCTCTCCTTCTTTCTCCATCTCCATCCAATAAACCTCTTTCATATAAAATCTGTTGTACGTGTCATCATTTCTATCTGGACCAGAGAAAAGATAGAACAGACAGTAGTAAGAGTTGGGACAACATCAAGGCATTTCAGATGGGATATCTGCTACTGAAATGTGCAACAGGACCACAGTGGTGACCCTGAGTAGAGACCCCTGATCCTGTTCTCCAGGCAGGGTAGGAAGGCATCTACACAGGTATGTGCAAGGTGTATCTAATACTTTCAGAAAATAAAGTAACAACAGTTGTTTTGACCAGCTAGCCTCAGGATATAACAACTTGTTTTTTTCTTAAGTAACTATCCCACCAACACTCTAGTAACATATGGATTGCACATGGGTGACCCTGATACAGGACCCTTGGGTGGGTGTATGCTTTGGTGTATATACCCAGTTGGTTGGTCGCAGGACAAACCTAGTCTCGACTAAGGAGAATTAGCCTTCAAAGTTGTCCTGAACCTTTTGGGAATTCAGACACCCAGTGTACCCCACTGTCAGCTTCCAAGTCTGTGTTGGATCAAATGGGAGATAACTCTAGCCATATCTGTGGCTCTCTTAACAGTGTAGCAGTAACTGCTCAACACAAGGACTTAGTTAATTGTAAAACAAATTTGGGCATGGAATATAGTTAAGTTGATAAAGTGTTGGAATACCCAAGTTCAATCTACCGAACATGTTGGTACATGCTTGCAATTCCAGTGCTGGGGAGGTAAAGACAGGAGGATCCCTGGGGCTTACTGGCCAGCTAGCCTAGCTTACTTGATAAGTTCCAGATCAATGAGAGACTGTGGGGCCAATGGAAAAAGATGTATGCCACCAAGCCTGATGACCTGAGTTTTATCCCTGGGAGGACCCATTTGGTGGAAGGAGAAAACCCATTTTCACAAGTTGTCCTCTGACCTGCACCTACACAAACATACATATACATACAGACATTGAACCAAAGTAAACCTCTGAGGTGGCTTGTAAGTTAAGAGTACTGGGTGCTCTTGCAGATAACCTGGGTTAAATTCCCAGTACCTACATGATGGCTCACAACTACCTGTAACTCCAGTTCCAGGTGATCAGATGCCCTCTTCTGGCCTCTACAAGCACTGGAAACAAAAGTGGTGCACAAATACATATTCAGGTAAAATACACAAACAAACAATTTAATTAAAAAGCATTCCTGTTAAAAAATTAAGGAGCAGGGACCGGAGAGATGGCTCAGAGGTTAAAGAGCACTGCCTGCTCTTGCAGAAGTCCTGAGTTCAATTCCCAGCACCCACATGGTGGCTCACAACCATCTATAATAAAAATCTGTTTTAAAAAATTAAGGATGGTGCTGAAGAGATGACTCTGAGGTTAGGAACACTGGCTGTTTTTCCAAAGGTCCTGAGTTCAATTCCCAACAACCACATGGTGGCTCCTAACCATCTATAGTGAGATCTGGTACCTTCTGGCTTGCAGGCACACAAGCAAGCAGAATAATGTATAAAAAAATAAATACCCCCCCCCCCCCAAATTAAGGAGACAAATAATTGAAGAAAACATATAAAGTTGACCTCTGACCTCTACACACCTATGCATTTGCACCCCACCCCATACATCTAACAAGGTGGAAAGTATAAGAACAACACCTGAAGTTGTCCTCCGGCTTTGACTTGTGTATGTGCATGTGCATACACATACAAAGATTGGACAAATACAACAACTGTTTGGGATGCACATGAGGGTCTCAGGCTCTTTCAGTATCATATTAAGCACATTTCAGTGACAGTGTTTCACTTGGGAGTAAGCTGTTAACCTAGGGAGCCTACTCATCTGGTTCCTAACCTCTAGGCACTGTTGTAGCTCTCCTAAACTCACTACGGCCCCTCTTTTGTTCTGTAAAATGACAACAATGACAGGACTCCTGTGGTTGTGTGGACTCTGTAAGCAAGTTGTATCACACTAAAATCTTGAAAGAATAAGTCAAGACTTGCTTGACATTTATTCAGAGCATTATAAGTGTAGCTGAGGCTATACTGACTACATTGTGGAAGCAGGTGAAAAGTGTTCTGGATTTATATTATTCTGTCTATTCCTTGAAATTTTTGAAAAATTCCATAGTAGAAGAATCAAGAGGTAAAAATATATATCTGATAATATAATTATAGATATACATCATTACATGATTTTGTGAACATTCAAAGAATGTGGGCTTATGAGATGGCTCAATGGGTAAAGGTACTTGCTGCCAAGCCCAAGGCCTGAATTTGATCCCTAGGACTCACATGATGTAAGAAAAGAATCAATTCCTTAAAGTTGTCATCTGACTTCTGCACATGCCCACACATATACCCAGAAAATAAATACATGTAAAAGATTAAAAAGATAAATCCCAAAGAATGTATACCTGTAGCAAACCTAATATAAAAATGTAGTTCACTGATTGTGACCAACAGGAGTCAGTCTTATGGGCAGTTTCTGTAATTCTCACTCAGTTTTGATATGTATTTAAAATGGCTCCAAAGAAAGAAACAATTTTGAAAAGGGGACAATAGTAATAGAATTTTCTTTTGGTAGTGATGGGGATAGAACATAAGACTAATGATCCCCCAGAATATACTTCACAGAAGTTTGGTACAGGGGCTAGAGAGTGTTCAGTCTATAAAGTACTTGCTGTGCAGCATGAAAACTGAAGTTTGAGCCCCAGAAACCATATAAATAAAAAAGGCAGGCATGGGGGCAGTGCTGGGGAGGCAGACATGGGCGGATACCTGGAGCTTATTGGCCAGCCAGCCTCACCTAATTTTGACTTCCAGGCTATTTGAATAAACAAATAAAAGCAGTGGAGTATGGTGGTACATGCCTTTCATCCCAGGACTTGTGGGACAGAGACAAGCAGATCTTCTGTGAGTTCCAGGCCAGCTAGGGCCATACAGAAAGACCGTTCTCAAAACAAGTATCTAATGCTGGGCCTGGCATCTGCCTTTAATCTTAGCACTTGGGAAGCAGAGGCGGGAAGATATTTGCAAATTGTAGGCCAGTCAGTTACAGTGAACCCCTGTTTAACAAACAAAACTCTCCAAACAACAGCAACAAACTCCACCAAAACCCCAAACCAAACCTAAACCAAATAAAGCTCAAGGTAGACAGTATTAGAATAAGGACACTTAGGGTTGACTTCTGGCCTCCATATGCATTTGTATGTGTACATACATGTAGCCATATGAACATGCACACACACACACATACACATGAACACAAAGATTTCAGACTCGGGTGTTATCACTATGTCTGAGACAAGAATCTGAGCCCTGCTGATTTTCCCGCTTGACTCTGTTAGTCCTGGATATAAAACTGTCTCTTCCCTGGCATGCCTCTCCTCCTGGACACCCCAGCCCTCTAAACCAGCATACACCTGCTACTTAATACTTTCATCCCCTTTCCTCTTTTTTCCGTTTTTTTTTTTTTCTCTCTCAACATTTACTTATTTAGTGTATGTTCATGTACATGCCTAAACATGGTTAGAGGACAACTTGCAGGAAGGAGTTGGTTCTTTTCTTCTACTATGGACTTTGGGGATCACCAAGTTTGGCAACAGGTGCATTTATCCCCAAGCCTCCTCCCACCTTCTGGATGCAGAACCTCATTGTAACCCAGGCTGTGCTACAATTTGCTGAGTAGTAACAATTCGATTTGAACTTTTGATCCTCCTTCCTCATTCCACTTCCAAAGTGTTGGTATAATAGATGTATACTACTATATGCAGGCCTACTCTCATTCTTTGAGGCCTGGTTTGTCCTAACCATTTTTTCCCCTGAGACTCAGTACTTTCTCTCTCTCCCTCTTTCCCCACCCTCTTAAAAAGATTTATTTATCTTATGTATATGAGTGCTATGTTTTCATTCACACCACGAGAGGGAATCAGATTCTATTACAGATGGTTGTGAGCCACCATGTGGTTGCTGGGAATTAAACTCAGGATCTCTGGAAGACCAGCCAGTCCTCTTAACCAATGAGCCATCTCTCCAGCCTGAAACTCAGTAGTTAACACCAATGGGCTAAAGGCTTGGAAAGCCTTCTAAGTTTATCATCCCTGGCATGGCCACCTCAGGGATACTTTGTGGGATCCTCAAATTACTATGCCTTGATGTCTCCCAGCTAGGAATTCCAAGTTGTGTTCTCTTCTTTTTTACCAGGTTGCTTCTGCATTCCTAGAGTTATTTCAGTGCCTGTACTGGCTTTAATTTTTCAATTTCCATCTTTTCCCTTATAAGTCACACTGGGTTAGTGAGTTTCCTTGGGTTCCAGAGTACAGAACAATCTCTCTAATCGAAGCCATGGGTAATGCCAGCTGGGGAGCCATTCTGCCTCCTGAGTCACATGTTGGTTGAGCCTCTGGGACTTATTTGTGCCCTCCACACATACAAGACAATACCTCCCTTGATTCTCCAGTGAGGACAACATCTGAACACACTTTATTCTACCGAGAGTGATTATTTTATTAACAAACAGGTCATTTAGAAGGTGAGCCCTCTGACAAATTGCATACAGTCATACACTTTGTGAGGAACTTTGATTGGACTCTAGCTACTTGGGCACCAAAGGCCAGATTCCTCCATTTAGGCTTGCAGAAGTGATCTGATTAAGCTCTAATTTGGATCACATTGAAAACAGGGTTGGATGGTAGTGAAGTGCCTTTGGGAGGGAGGGAGAGTTTCTGGAAGATATCCCAACCTACGGGATGGCTGCTTTAATGAGAGGGGCAAGCACTGAAGACCCTTGTCTCTGGGAGCACTCAAGAAATAGAAGGTGACACAGGAGGGACAGAGGAAAGGGCTTGGTATGAAGTGACAGTTGGAGCAGCTTTAGGAAAACAAGGACACAGGTACCTAAGCTCCATGACAAAGTGAAACGGGCCAGCCCTGCGGCCCCTATGACCTTGAGGCCACTTTCAAGCCCTGATGTATTAGGGCAGGGTAGCCTCATGCCAGAGCATGGGGCAAGGCCTCCACCCTCCACTGGTGCCACGTTGCCTCCTTCAGTCTGGTTCCAGGGTTGTGCTGTACTAGCCTGCCATGCTCCTTCGAGGGATACAGCCTTCCATCTCCAGGGCCTCTGGCCAGCCCTCATACTTGTTGGTGTGTTTACTGTTCTTCATATGCTGCAGAGGTTAACAAGAAGTCATAGCCTGACCCTCAGGGGCCAACCACCTGGATACTCTTCAGTCTGATGTCTTTCCCTTCACACAGGGATAATTGGGGATGGCTGCAGTGGCCTATTCCTTCACAAGTGAACTGGGGATGTGTCATGGGCCTGATGTACACTAGGAAGGTGAGTACTGTGGACAGGAGGGAGTCCATATGGCCCTAACTTCAGGAGAATACTGGAAGCTGCTGCCCTAGTTGGGGTGAAAGGTCTTGGACGGCATGAGCTTGAGTTGTTTTTTGTCAGCCACAGCAATGGAGAAATTTGTATTTGTTGAAAGCAGCACTTGGAGGCCTACCTAAGACTTTTTGCTGGGAGCCTCCTTAGGTAAGGGTGATGCCAGGGGTTGTTCTCTCCCTAGCAGCTCCTAGCATCAAAGCACAAAATCTGACTGGCGTAGCCTAAGAGGGAACACGGGGAAGGTGATGAAAAAGGAGTGTGTAGCATAAATTGGGAAACTGGATTGTGAGAAGGCTAGGGATGGAAGTGAGCATCTTTTTTTTCTTTCTGTTTTATTATTATTATTATTAATCAGAGACAGTATCTTATATAGCCCAGACTGGCTTCAAATTTGCTATGTGGATAATCTTGAACTGTACAGGCAAGGATCCTCTTGCCTTTACAGTGTTGGCATTATACAGGTGTGTCCCCATGCCCAGTTTTATGCAATGCTAAAGAATGAACACAGGGCCTCATGTATGCTAGACAAACACCCACCGTAAGTAAGCTACATCCCTGGACTGAGTATCCTGAAGATGTTTGCAAAGATTTCTTAGTTATAAGTCTGGCCAATATGCAATCAAACATTTAAAGACTCTTTAGGGTGGAATACATACAGGACAGGGGAGAGCAAAGTTACTGTCTATCCCTATGGTGATTAGTAAGGGGCCAGGGCAAGGGACAATCAGAAACAGAGATCAGAGCCCTACTGGGAAGAATTCAGGGAAGCTTTGATGTAAAGAGAAGTGGTGGCTAGGTTGCCAGCAATAGCAGGCAGATGTGCCGGGTTCTTTGCTGTACCTGCTCAAAGGGGCTCTTGTTCTGCACACCCTTGGCTCCCACAAACACCCAGCTGTCACGGAAGGATAGCTCCTTGGCGTTCCTGCTGCCCAGCTCAGAAAAAAGCTTCCTGGTCTCTTCATTCATCCTATTACACAGTAGGAAGAAATGCAAACTGGGGACTGTTACTGTCCTGGAACACTGAAGCTGGACTTGGAAGTCACTTACTTGGTAGCTGGATCATCATAGGATGCCACGAACACCAGGGTACCTTCATGTAATGGCCGGATGAACTTCAAGAGATCATTGACATCTGGTAGAGATGGGCCCACAGAACATGGAGCTTCAGGTTTCACCTAAGTAACCCTTCCCCACCAAACAATATTCTTCAAATGAGGGGAAAAAAGTAGGGACTGGGCTAGGTCACATCAAGGGCCATCGGTATGAGCACAAACTGGTAAAGAAGCTAGGGCCATCAGGTCACAAAACACAGAATCCAGAGAGATCTCCCCATCCATTGCATTTTGTGAACTCCAGGCTATACTTGAACAGCTGAGTGCAAGGACACAGAGGGCAGAGTTTCAGAAAAAAAAAAAATGTACAGTAGGCTGCTGTGGTTGCTACTCACCTCCAGCCCACATGTCAAAGGCTCTGGCTTCTAGGAGCTCACCGCTGACCCCTGTATCAAAAAGAGGAAGACCTGTTGAGCAAGCTGCCTGGGCCATGCCACTTTAACACCTTAGCTCCCAGCATGGTGTGTGGCAGCCCTTTCTAGAAGCTTCAAACATATCCTGTCATCCTCTCATTCACAGAGCTGCAACCCATGGAGCACTCTGGCATCTGAGTTCCTAAGAGTCCACCACTATTATCACTGCTATCACATTTACTGGGTAACTTCCTTTGTGGAACTTTCAGCTGGGATGGAATCCTTCCCAAGCCTCCCTGGGAGTACCCAGAAGCCACCTGCAACTACAGAAGGAGTAATGAAGTGGAGGGGGCAGGCCATAGCATGGTATTTGCTTCTATGGGTCTGAAGTCTGACCCCACAACATGGGGGACTCACCATTCACCAGGGCGATATTCAGCCCACGGCCCACATTGTCCTTGATGCTGCTCATGAGCCTAGCAGGGGCAGAAGAACTTTTGTGGGCATATCAGCTTTGTTCTTCTTCACACAGCCCCCAGCCCTTGGCCTTTACAGACCTGGCCTGAGGCTCCCCTCCCACTTCCCATCCCATATGCTCACATCTTGTCCTCGAGGCAGATCTTGGGCCCGATGACATTGGCAGCCCCGCTGACTATGCGAAAGGCCAGGTGCTCCTCAGGACATGGCTGGGGCAGGCCACACTTGTACTTCCTGGCCCTTGGTTCTGAGTAATGATAGCAGATGTGACTCATGTGCCTGGCCCTGGTGTCACCTGAGATCTGAGAGTGGAGGTCAGGACCAGACACAGGGCTGAAGGAACAGCCACAGAGCATAGAAATAGGGAAGGAGGTAGGCAGGGCTCAGACCAAAGCTGGGGTTGCTTCCAAGGGGTGTTGGCAGGGCGGTAGGGACTCCAAGAATAAGGCTTTTTTGCTACTGGTAGGAAAGGGAGAAGGGGGTTGACAGCTGGCTTAAACCCCTTATACAACCAGAACAAAGCAGAGGTCTAGAAAGTCAGGGTGGGAGCTCCATGAATGAGGCACACAGTCAGACCAAAGTGGATAAGCTGAGCATGGTGCTCTGGTAGCCTCTGGATTTCTTCAGGGTGAGGGTAGAGATGATCTCTGTTATGGCTTGAATTATGATCATACAAAATATACTGGAATCTGAACTCTTAGTTCCTCAGAATGTGACTTTGCTGCAGACAGATAAGTTATGATGAAGTCAGAATGGAGCATGGTGAGCCCTTAACACACTGTGACTGGTGTTCTTATGAGAAGAGACAAGATAAAAGCACACAGAAGATGCTGTGAGACAGTAGAGGCAAAAGACAGAGTAGTGCAGCTACAAGATGAGACAGAGAAGGCTTCTAGAATCTGCAGAGGCACAGAAAGACTCTTACCCGGTGCTGACACCTTCATTCATACTCTTTGTTTCCAGAATGGTGAAAAGGTAAATTTTGTTTGTTTAAGGCACCTGCTTTATTCTGCATTTCTTAGAGTAGCTATAAGAAGCTAATACAGGTTTGGTGCCAGGAACTGGGGGTTTATATAAACAAATACCACAAATAGCTAAGAATGTCAAAATAGATTTGAACTGGGTAGAGTAGACAAAGGCTGTAGAGTTTTGATGTGTATAATAGAAAGAACCTACACTGTTTAAAACAAGAACTAAAGCAAACAAACAACCCCTCCCCCTTACCAATCCTCCTGGTAAGAATACAGAGTGAAGCCAGGAATGTTACTGCATATCTGTAATCCCTGTACTTGGAAGGCTGATACAGAAAGATGATGATTTAAATGCTACCCGGGCTACATAGGAAGTCTCTGTATTAAAACAAATTTAGCAATATGGTTGGTAAACACATTTTGCTACAATCTCAGAAAGAAGAGAGTAACAGAGAAAGATTCTTTTGTTGAATCTTTCACTTACATCATCATCCTAAACGAAGTCTTCATAGGAACATTACATTACAGATCTTTTGGTGAGACCTTAGAAGGAAGTTGAAAAAGCCATTGTTGGGCATGGGAGGAAAGGCCATCATTGTTATAAAGTGTCAATTGATCTGGTGTTTTGTAGGAAAGAAAGCTTGTAAAATATTTAGCAGAGGAGATTCACAAGCACGGTGTTAAAGGTATGGCCTGGTTTTTCCTTGCTGCTGTTCATGGTAAAATGAGAGTAGACAGAGCAGTTGGGGAAAGAACTATCAATCATGAAGGAGAACAGAAACACTGTCAGCCTATGAAAAGAACAGAGATGAGAAGAATATAAGGGTGGAAAAATTAAAGGAAGGAAAGAAGGAAGGGAGGGCAAGAGGAAAGGAGGGAGAAAGGAAGAAAGGAAAGAAGGTTAGTTCTGAGTACAGAGCCAGGGATGAAGAGGCCAAAGAGGGCCCATTCCAGAGGATGGGGTCACTTCATTGGGCCTAGAGAGCAGAGTATCTGGACATAGAGATTTCTTCTCAGGCCTTGAAATCTAGAATTTGCCTTACTTCATACCATGAGCTCCCTTTCTTCCCAATATCTTCCGTTTAGAATGGGAATGTTTTTCCTTTGCCCGCCCCTCTCACCTTCTGATGGTGGCTAACTCATTTACTAGGTTCACAGCCCAGAAGGCTGACAGGTAGTTGGGAGAGGTCCAGATGGAGAACAGAAATCCTGGGTGGCTGGCTGGCAGTAGGCAGGGGTATGACACAAGGCAGAATGAAATGCAGGCACAGGAGGAAATAGGGAAGGGACAGGAGGCTTACCTGCAGTCACTGAGTTCTCTGGGCCTGTGGATAGAGAGTTTTTTTTTCTGTTAGCATGGAGGCCTCCAGGAGTCTACAGCAGAGTAGCCAGGCTCAGGGACTTAGGGCCAGCTCAGGCTACACTTGGCATGTTCTCCACTCAAGTCTCAGTGATGCCCTGATGTAAAACTGTCTGCTCCAGGAAAAGGATGAAATGGAATTGAAAATAGTGCTTAGGTGACTTGGCACCAGTGATAAGATTTAGAGTCCCTTGTGTATCTCAGAGCCCAACAGAAGAGTCCAAGACATCAGTGTTCAGTGGAGGCCTTTCCTTACTCTTACTCTATCCACTCAATATTGGATTGCAATTAGGTGGTGTTGTTCTCTAGGTCAGTTGGTAAGAAAAAGGGTACATTTGTGTTAGAAGGTAGGCCTAGTGCAGCAGAAGGAAGTCTGCCAAGATGATGGAAAACCACCACACCCCATATTGGACACTTCTACAGTGAATCAAGAGGGTCCCCACACTCACTGGTGAAGAATTGCTGAATTCGAGGAAGGCCACTACCAGGACCACCCAGGAGGATTGTGACTAGGATCCAGGTGAGACCCATAATGATGATTAGGGCCACGATGCGCAGGGGGCCTGCAAGCAGGATAGACACAGGGCAGGACTATCTCAGACACCAGTGAACAACCCTCGCAATAACCCATTACCTCACATGACCAGATCTCCTCTTTTACTTGAGAACAAGTGATGGCAGGATTGAAAGGTGGGGCACCCATTGCTACACACCATATCTAAGAGGGAGACTTGAACTTCCTCCTGGTAGAGGAAAGAGAGTTCAAACCTTGAGGATGATCTGTTTGAGTCTCCCCAGTAGGTTTGGACGGGCCTTTTAGAACCCATGCTCTGGACAGCTTCCATAGCACCAACCTCAGCATCTTACTTCTGAAACTGTCAGTATATTTACAGCTCACTTTTCTGCCTCTCCTTTTCTCTTGTTCTGATGGAGATTTATATATCACAGAGATCCACCTGTCTCTCCTCCCCAAGTGTTTGAAATTAAGGCTTGTGCCACCACACCCAGCTTCCATACTCCTTTTGAAGACTTTCTACCTGCTTCAAGATCCATTAAGTTCTTTCCTGTTTTAGATACATTGTGCTAAGACTCCTTTCTAGCCTCACTTTCTTTCATATTATCAACAGGTTGTAACTTAATAAGAAAAAAAAAAAATGAAACAGCTCCTGCAAGAAAAATTTCATCTTCTGACTCTTCACCTTCCACTTCCCCACCAAACTCTTTAAAAATTTATATTTTGGCTGGGGATATAGCTCTCTGGTAGAGCATTTGCCCAGCACACATGATACCCTGGGTTCCATCCCCAGCATACACATAAAAAAGTCATCTACATTGTGATTTCTATCATCTCATCTCCCAACTCTCTCCCAAAATTCTTCCAATCTAGTCTTGCCCCATCAACCCCGACCAAACGACCTTCCAAACCAGACCACCTATGACTTTCATGATGTCACATTTCTGATTGACTGTGTGTTCTTTCTTGACCTCTCAGTGGGCTGCCCAAGTCCTCCTGATGCAAACACTTCACTGCTAGCTTCCAGAACACCACTGTCTCCTGACCCAACTCTCTGAGACTTCCTCTTTGTTGCTTAGATTGTCTTCCATTACTTTCTCCTTAAAAACTGTACTTTTCCAGGCTGTGTTCTCCAGTGTTCATACTCTCGTTATGGGAGATTTTATCTACTATAGGTATCAAGTTAAATACCTTGCTTCAATGACACCTTATTTTCTGCCTCCAGTCCTAATCTGTCTTGAACCCACATCTTCCTAGTCAGTTCCTTGCTGCCCAACTTGGATTTATCCATGAGCTGCTACGTTACCAGTTATCAAATTCTACTCTCATCCCAATCAGTCCCTCTATGAGCCACTTTTTACCCCCACAAGGCATTTTCATCTTAGTTGTCCAGCTGACAGCAGATCTGCCACTTGGATCATGTTCAACCTCACAGGCACCTAAGTCAGTTTTCTTCTAAGGCCATGCCTCTCTATCTGTACTCTTCACCCCTCTCCATTTAGCCACTAGGCTCTCTGGAGGCCTGTTTCTCACAACTCATTTTCAAAAAGCAATTGGCCTGTTATTTGAGCTGGGATATATATCTTTAACTTATAGTTTGGGAAGCTGAAGTCCTCAGAGGTGAAAGAATCTGATCATAGAATGAGTGCTTGTGCAATCCAATCATCCATTAACAAATAAACCAGTGACCACCCAGGCCCCTCCTAACACAGACACTAGGGCACCTGGCCTCTCTTTCATTTGCTGTGGAAGCCACCCACCTGCCAACCTCATGTCCACTTCTCCCGCTGGCTTGGGACCTCCGGCAGGTGCACTGTTTGGGGACCGAGGGCTCTGGGAGGAATGAAACAGGTGAGTAGGTTTGGGGTGGGGTGGGGGCAGGGGAAAGCCTGTGCTGGGCGCGATCGGTGCTACGATTTGTTCTTCCAAAAACCAGACCAAGCTCAGTTCCTCGTGAGCGCTGGGGGAAGCCCTGCCTGGCTTGGAGGGCTTTGAAAACCCGTCGTGCCTCACAATCTGGCTAACAGAAGCGTCCAGGACTGGAAGGTAGCAGTGGTTCTCCCCTCCTGTGCTAGGCCCCGGAGCTCAGGTCCGTCCTCTCCAGGCTGGTGGCAGAGACCGGCGAGCCAAGGACGTTGCCTGAGTGTAGGGAGACGGAGACCTGAACAGGGAGTTCCCCACTGGTCTCGCTCTGCCAGCTAGGTGAAGCAAAAGAGTCACGTAGAGAAAAAGCTTGGCAGGCACAAGCACGACAATGGCGGCCCAGGGAGGGCCACAGCCCACAGGCGTCGCTCCGCCATAGGTCCATAGGCTGTGCTGTGGGGCCGCAGATCCTCACGCAGGCTCCACCTCCAGACCCGCCTCTTCCCTCTTCTCCCGAGGCTGGGTGGGAGGTGCCTAATGTGGCTGTGCATCTGCTGCTTGTGCTAAACCTGAGCCAGCTAGCTTCTTAGAAAGAATCGGAGTCACTGCTGCCTGTCCTAGACTTTATTTGAGGTAATTATTTGCTGTGTTCTTTCCTGAGAGTGTTTTTTCTGTTTTATATATCATTCTCTGAGGGGATGCCTGGAACGTTGCCCTCGATCCTCAGGTTTGAGCTTTTTGCCCCAATTTCTTACAGTGTCAGGATAGCTGGGCTGGTCCTTTCAGCTGGATCCATCTGTCTCTTAGGCAGCATCTGGACAGAACCAAAACAACATTCTTGTCGTTTGACCCAATAATCCTACTTACAGGAACTACCCAACTTGGGTAATGCTCCAAAAACACAGAAGCACTTTTTTGGATAGAATATAGCATTTTCAATTTGGTTACACCTGCAATCTCAGCACTTGGGGGGTGGAAGTAGGAGGGTCAACAGTTTAAAGCATCCTGAGCCACTTAAATTTGAGGTCAGCCAGAGCTGCATGAGACATTGTTTAAAAAAAAATGGTGGGAATGGAGCCAGATGTGGTAGCTCACACCTGTAATCCTAACATTTGGGTGGCAGAGGCAGGAGGGTCAGGAATTGAAGGCCAGTGTCAGCTAGAAGTGAGTTTGCGGTCAGCTTGAACTGCATGAAAATGTATCTCAGAAAAAAAAAAAAAAAAAAAAGACAAGCTGGAGTAATATCTCAGTGGTTAAGATTAATTGTTGTTTTTTCCCAGGTTCGGTTTTCAGCACCCACATTGTGGCTCACAACCATCTATAACTCCAGTCCCAAGGATTCTGATGCCTTATTCTGACTTTCTCAGGCATTAGGCATTAGGCATGCATGTAGTGTACATATATACATGTAGGCAAAATACTCGTATACATAAAACAAAATTTCAAAAACTGTAGGGGCCTAGAGAGATGGTTCAGTGGTTAACAGCACACTGTTCTTGCAGGGTTTTATTCCCAGAACTCATGTGCAGCACTCATATCAGGCAGTTCATAACTGCCTGTAACTCCAGCTCCAAGTTTCTGACAACTTTCTAACCCCCTCTTCCTCCTACACACACACACACACACACACATACACTAAAATTAAGCTTAAAAACATTTAGTAAAGATAAAATAGTAATAAAAACAAAATGAATACAAAACAAACAGAAAAGAAATACAGTTGTTTCCATACCGGCTGACTGAGCAGTCTCTCACAGACACTCTTTTATGCTTATGCTCAAGGCCATCTGTTTTAGCAGCCTTCTGCTGCAGTCAGGGGTTTGTGTTTTGGTTTTGTCACTGAGTTTGGTGGCCTCGAGTACTTCTGGCATCAAACCCTGGGCACAATACCCTCCTCAGTAGGACTCAGTAGAAGCTGCCAGCTACTAATATCCTGAAACTGATAGGTCACCAGGTATCTGCCAGATTAGTGGTAATTAGAAAGCAATGTTTGTAACTTGCTTAGAAAAGCGAGGAAATTTGATTTAATAAGTCTCTTTGAAGGCCTGAGGCAACTCCTTACTCTCCAGGGTCACAAGAATGAACTATTCAGTTAAGTAAATATCTACATGGAAAGGAATCATAGCTTCTGCCTCTTAGCCCCAGGTAAGCAGTAAACATGAAAGAATACCAAATTGTCAGACCCTAGTTAAGCTGGCTCAATTGATGCCATGCTGAGCAGAGATGAGCCGGCCCTGGTGAGACTATGTCCAGATTGCAAACAACCACATGTAAAAGAAAATAGACTTGTTATTTCAGATCACTACAATTTATGGTATTTTATTTTTTTTTATTTTTAAGTATATAGGTGTTTTTGCATGAATGTATGTCTGCATATCACATGTGCGTAAAATAGACTTGTTATTTTAAATTACTACACTCTATGGTATTTTCATTTTTATGTATATGGTTTTGCCTGAATGTATGTCTGCATACCACGTGTACATAAGTGTGTAGTACCTGCAGAGCCAGAAGAGGGTTGTGATCCTCCTGAGAAGGGAGTTATAGATGGTTGTGGGCTACTGTGTGGTTGCTGGAAAATGAACCTGAGTCCTGTGGAAGAGCAACCAGTGTTCCTAATCACTGAGCAATCTCTCTGGCCTTTTAAATTTTTGTGACATTTAAAAAATTATTTCTTTTATTTTTGAAATTATAATATAATTACTTCATTTCCTGAGTAGAAGCTGCCTGTTTGTTTTCTAATGAGTGATAGAAAGGGGAAGGATGAGGATAGGTAGAGACCCTGGAGAGTGAGGAGTTACCCCTCGGACTTAAATTCTTTGAGACACTGTTTTTCTGGGTAGCCTTGGTTGTCTTGGACTTTGTAAACCAGGCTGGCCTCAAACCCACAGAGATCTGCCTGCCTCAGCCTGTGTGCCAAGCGTGTGCCACTGTGCCCGGCACCCAGCAGGATTTTTAGATTTAACTGTAATGTCCTAATTTTTTTGCTATTGTATGTATGTGTGATATGTGTGTATGTATATATCAATGCTCTTGTATGTTGAGTGTAAGAATGTGTGTACCAGGCCACATGTGTGGAGATCAAAGGACAACCTTAGGTGGTTGTCCTAACCTTCCACCTTGTTTGAGATAGGATCTCTTTTTTTAATTGATGTGTATGCCTCCCTCCCTGGCCTAAGCACTTCTAATCTCTGTCTTCCATCTTCTCATAGGAGTGCTGGAGTTAGAGGCAGGTGCTAGGGTTAAAGGCATGCACCACCATGCTCACCATAATCTCCTAGGTGCTTTTTACTCTAAACAAGTTGCCAATTCAGTCTTAACCATTATAGTCCATTGTGGTGACTCAAGCCTATAGACCCAGCACTCAGAAGGCTGAGGCAGGAGGATCACTGTGAATCCAGGCCAACCTGAGTAGGCTAGATAGTTTTATGTCAACTTAACACATGCTAAAGTCATCTGAGAGGAGAGAACCTTAATTAAGAAAATGCCTCTGTATGATAGGGTTATATGCAGTCCTATAAAGCATTTTCTAAATTAGTGAATGATGGGGATGAGCCTAGTTCATTGTGGGTGGTGCCAACCCTAGGCTGGTGGTCCTGAGCAAGCCATGATGAGCAAGACATGAGAAGCACCATTCATGGCTTCTGCATCAGCTCCTGCTTCCCGGTTCCTTCCCTGTTTGATTTCCTGTCCTGGCTTCCTTTGGTGATGAAATATGATGTGGAGGTATGAGTCAAATACCAGCCCCTCCACTCCCCCCCCCCCCGGTAGCTTTTTTGTCATGGTATTTCATCACAGCGATAGAAACCCTAAGACTCTGGGTTATAGTTATTCCTTATCACAAAGAAAACAAACTAACAAACAAAAAGATTTAACTATCATAGGTTCCCTTGAACCTAATTTACAAAATAGGTATGCTTTATTTAGCCTTGTGCCAAGACATTTAAATTTAGTCGTATATTTACCATATTCTTTATTTTTTTTCTCAGAGGTACCAGTTTTCTTCTATGCAAAATATAAATTTAAAAACATATTAATTTGGTGTGTGTATACCTGCCCATAAGACATGTAAGAAGGTCAGAGGACAACTATCAAGAGCTAGTTCTCTTCTTCCATTATGTGGGTCCAGTGGATCAAACTCAGCTCACCGTTATACACTAAGCCATCTTGCTGGCCATAGAATGTATCTTTTTTTGTGATGACATGATTGTAGGAAATTTTCTACTTTTTATTTGCACTATCTCTCATGTTTGAAAGATATTTTAGTAGTGATGGAGAGTTGGCTCAGTTGTTAAGAGCATGTATTACCTTTCCAGAGGACCCCCAGTTCAGTTCCCAACATCCACATGACAGCTTATAACCATCTAATTCCAGTTCTAGGTGATCCAAAGCCCTCTTTAGCCCCTATGGGCACAGGTATGCATATGCACATATAAAATAAAACAGATAAAATCTTTAGGAAAAAGAAAGATATTTTAAAGATGGGCATGGAGTGTACTTTTGTAATCCCAGCACTTGAGAGACTGAGGCAGAAGGATTGCAAGTTCAAAGCCTGCCTTGCCTACAAAACTTGGTCTGTGTAGGCTAGCCTGGGTTACAGGAGACTCTGTCTCAAAATAAACAAAAACAGGGGCTGGGGAGATGGCTCAATGGTTAGGAGCACTGACTGCTCTTCCAAAGGACCTGGGTTCAATTCCCAGCACCCACATGGCAGCTCACAACTCCAGTTCCAGGATACCCCCACACATACGTACAAGCAGGCAGAACACCAATATACATAAAATAAAAGCAAATAGATAATTAAAAAAAAAAAAAAAAACAACCCAAAATCCGACTAAGGGCCTTTGAGAAGTTGAGTGTTAAGGTTCGAAAATCCAAAACAACCCAAGCAGTTACAAGAGTCCAACAAAGCATGACCTTTATTTGAATTTGGCAGTAAAAACTAACCAGTAAGGGACAACACCTCTATAGATGTGGGTGCTGACTGCATCTTCAAATGTTAGAATAATGTTAGTTAAGTATTTAAGCAGATGACAAAAAATTAAGAAGATGACAAAAATATATTCTATTCAAGCCAGTACTGATCAATCAGGGCCAAAGAACATACTTGGGAGCTCAACTGTGATCCCAAGCCAGAATGTTACAGAGTTTTTAATCCTGAAATTAAAAACATCTATGCTGAGTTATGCTACCAATCAAGATTTAGGAAGAGAGGACTTTCTTAGGAACATGTCTTTGTGGCACACTTATCCTGGCCCTATTGGTTGGGTTATTGAATTATGGTGGGTGACTTGCCTAGTATTCATGTCTCAACTTGCTAAGCATGATGTCAGTTTCCCAAGTACATGTCTCTTTTTGCCAAGCAGGATGTCAGATACAGGGAGGTTTTATGAACTTAAACTTTATTTACCCCTAATCAAAATGGAAGTTTTATTCAAAATGGCTTCAGTTTGGTTCCTTCTTACATTGAATATCTTTTTTAATCACTCTCCACTTTAAGTTTTTTTTTTAATTTGTGTGTGTGTGTGTGTGTGTGTGTGTGTGTGTACATGTGGAAGTCATAAGACAACTTTATGATCAGTTCTCTCTAGCCACATTTATGTGGGTTCTGGGGTTCCTACTGGGACATTTTGCTAGCCTCCATATTATGTTTTGAGATGAGGTCTTCCACTGAGTCTGAGACTTGCTGATTTGCCTAGGCTGGCTAGCCAGTGAGCTATAGGGATCCTCCTGTTTTTACCTCCTCAGCACTAGTACTACAGATAATCACTGTCCTGACTGGCACATGGGCACTTGACATTGAACTCATGTTCTCATGTTTGCATGGTAAGCACTTAATTAACTGAGGGAGCTTCCTGGCTCTGACTATTTTTTTTTTCCTGGGCATTTTGAACATTTTATATTTCTCTCTGATTTTTCTGTAGTTTCCATTATTATACTTCTAGGCATTGATTTATTTTGATGCATTCTTCTTGGGATTGTTTTTGTTTGTTTGTTTGTTTGTGTTTTTTGCCTAAAGATAAAATTACAGCAGTTTGATTTTATGATTTTTAATTTGTTTTTGTTTTTGTTGTTTTTAGACAGTTTCTCTGTGCAGCCCTGGCTTTCCTGGAACTTACTCTGTAGACCAGGCTGGTCTCAAACTCATGGAGATCCACTTGCCTCTGCCTCTCAAGTGCTGGGATTAAAGGTGTGCAGCATCACTGCCCTTCGTAATTTTTTTCTGTAAGTAAGTATTTTGTCTGCATACATGTATGTGTTCTTAATGCAGGCTTGTTACCCAAAGAGGCCAGAAGAGGACACCAGATCCTTAGGAACTGGATTTGCAGGCTGTTGTAGACTGCCATGTGGGTGGTAGGTATCAAATTCAGGTACACTCTCTGTAAAATCAGCAAATGCTCTTAACTATTGACTCTATCCTCCAGATTCTGATTTCATGATAGTTAATAAAAAGTTTAGTTGGGCTAGCAAGATGGCTCGGTGGGTAAAGGTATTTGCTGCCAAAACTAACAGTTAGTTCTGAGTTTGATTCCTAGCACCCATATGGTGGAAGGAGAGCACCATCTCCTACAAGTTGTCCTCTGATCTCCACACAAGCTCTATGGTGGATTGAATGATTATATCCTCCATGGACTCATATGTTTTAATACTTGGTCCACAGTTGGTGGAACTAATTGAGAAGGATTAGGAGGAGTGGCCTCATAGGAGGAAGTGTGTCATTGAGAGCAGGCTTTGAGGTTTAAAAAGCTTATGCCATTCCCAGTTAGCTCTCTTTGCTTCCTGATTGTGGATCAGATTTAAATTCTCAGCTGGTCTGTGAACATTTCCTCCTGTGTTCTTATTATTGGGGCTATGATTCAGTCAGAAACTGGTAACTGAGAAGTCTTGGGTGCATGTTGAAGAGCAACACTGGGATAAGTTTTTTTGTGGGGAGGGGTAAAAAGCTTATTAGAAGAATTATTAATTTCACTGACAAAGAGACAACACCCTGGCAGGGCATTTGAGGAGAGTTCTAGGTCTAAGTACCAGAGACAGAGGTTCTGAAGAGAGGCACCAGAGATCTCCAGGCAGAGTTAAGGTCCTTTCTTAGAGCTCTCTGAGGAAGAGGGGTGGTGTATAGTACCAGCCTGCAGATAGGCTCTTTGGTTTCCAAATGGAAGTTAGGGAAGGTAGTGGGGATCAGGACATGTGGTGCACCTGGAAGTCTGTTCGAGATTAATAGAAAATGTCTTCAATAAGGGCCTGTCAGTAGATGTGAGAAGAGAAGGGCTGCTGCAGGTACTGTGGCATGAGCAGCAGTCTGGTCTGAGCTCTAATACTGCATTCTTACAATAACACCATGGTGAATTGTTTTTGTTTATTTTGAGAAAGGGTCTCTCATGTTTTCCAGCTGTCCTTAAATGTGCTATGTAGTTGATGCTGCCCTTCAACTCATGATTCCTATTGTCACCATTTGTGAAGTACTGAGTTCACAGGCATGTGCTACAGATGGCTTTCAGAGGGAGAACTCTAGAGGCGCTTTTAGAACAGCAAGAATGATCCCCTCTGGTTGCTTCTCGCTTCTCAAAGCCCAAGTGAGACTACAGGCTCAGAGAAGCCCTTCCCATATGTATTGCTCTTTCCTCTGGTCCTCCTATGTCCTCCTGCTCTTCAGCAGGTAGGTCAAGCCAAGCTTGGGTTTTGACCTTTTCTACCTGCAGTTGGTTGGTGGCTCAGTACCAGCAGTGAGCCAGATTTGGTTTGAGGGAGGGCAGGAACAGGAAAGCATCTGCTTTTGTCTTCTTGTACTGGTAGACCAGATCCTACTGAGCTACTGTGATGGCTTTACTGACAGGTTGTCAGACATATGTGAAGATGTGGATGCAAGTCACGGATTTCTGTGTGCCTGGGGTTCAGACTGAATGGTAAGGCCAGGTGTGAAGTTTTTATCCAGCTTAGTAATTTTCAGGCATGGACTATGATACTAAAAGCTGAGCACTGTGTCTCTGACAGGGGACACAGGAAAGGCCTATTAAATTTCTGCCTGTTCTAACTTGGGTGAAGCCCTGAGAGATAAGCAGACAATAAGTCTCCATAGACACGAGAAGACGGGTAAAGCCTTTTTACATCCCTGAACTGTTTGACAGGGAGGTGGGTGGGACAGCTGGCCTGAGTATATCTGTGTGGACAAGGATATGAATTTGGGCTAGCTGCTGGCTTGGTCTAATGCTCCTGAGAGCTTCAAAAGGCCAGTGAGGAGTATTTGTCAAGGGAGCCCACAGGGCTTTGGTGTCCTGCATAGTCATCCAGGACCCTGTTCTCAGGACTACACACTTGTTGTGACATTTTGCAGTCACCATTTTAAAATCACTGATAAGTGCATCTGTGATAACTTTAGGTACATAAAGTTAGATGGGACAAATTGTAGCAATGCAGTAAGCAATGGGTGTGCTGACTCTGCATATCCTCTGTTCTAGGGTGACAGCTGACAGTGCCCCATGAATTGAGAATTCCTATCATTCTAGGATGTGCAGGTTACCTCTACAGCAGAATAAGTGGGCACTGAGGGACCCCCAAAGGACATACTGCATACTTTCATTTACATATTTCCTTTTATTTAATATATATTTTTAGATTTCCTTCCTTCTTTTCTTTCTCCTCTCTCTCTTTCCCCTCTTTCATTTTGAGGACAGTATCTTGTGTAAGCCCATTTGGCCTTGGAACTTGTTATATAGTTAAGGAGGACGGTTGTGAACTCCCAATCCTCCTGCTTTAACCTCCAAATTGTAAGAATTATAGGCATGTGACACCATCATGCCTGTTGTTGGTAACAATTAATATTTACTATTGGTTTATTTTTTAGTAATGCTGCTGTTAGTCCTAAACAGCTGTTTACCCAAATCACTGAACAGACACTGGGATTTATTTAATTAACCTAGAACACAATGCTGGGTAATAATTGTTCCATCCTAAACCTCCGAGCCCACGTAGTTTCTATCGTTCAGATTTCCCACATTATACTTGCTTTTTGTGATATATTAGGTCCAGTCCATCTCTCCACGTTGTTCCAAGACCTCTGCTCCTGCCTCTGCTCTCCCAGCCTCTCCTGCCCTTCTTCCCTCCTCTGCTTCCCACCTTCCTGTCCTTTGGCTCTTCCCTCTCTTCCTGCTCCTTTCCCTTGCTCAACATTGAGGCTAGTTGCTTTATTTTGGCATGTTTACACAAAGTTGAGATAGGTGATGGTTAGAATAAATATCAGAATGCAATGTCCGGATTGAAACCAGAGAGTGGGGGAGAGGAATCAGCATTTGAATGAACAAGGGTAAAGTGTATACGTTCCAAAAGTACATTATACCAACACATGCCCCTGTTTTTCATTTTCATTTTACATTCTGACCACAGTTCCCCTTCCCTCCTCTCCTCCCAGTGCTTCCCACTTACCATCTCTCCCCATCCACCCCCAATTTCTCTTCAGAAAAGGGCAGGCCTCCCATGGATGTCAGTCAGCCACGGCATAACAAATTGAAGTAAGATTAGGTACCTCCTCTCCTTTTGAGGCTAGATAAGGTGACCCAATTGGGGGAATGGGGTCTGCTTTTTAAAGAAATTTTTTTAATTTAAATTTTTATTAATTACACTTTATTTACTTTGTATCCCCCCATAAACCCCTCCCTCCTTCCCTCCTAATTCCACCTTTCCTCCCCCTTCTCCACTCATGCCCCTCCCCAAGTCTGATGATAAGGGAAGTCTTCCTCTCCTTCCTTCTGATCCTAGTCTATCAGATCTCATCAGGAGTGGCTGCATTGTCTTTTTCTGTGGCCTGGTAAGGCTGCTCCCTCCTCAGGCCGATGTGATCAAAGAGCAGGCCAATCAGTTCATATCAGAGGCAGTCCTGTTCCCAGAAAATTGTTTTATTTTATCTGTCTCTGTCTGTCTGTCTGTCTATGTATCATTGATCTGTATTGTGATTTTGTATGTGTATATGTACTGGAGTGGCACAGCAATCATGTGGGGGTCTGAGGGAAATTTGTAGGAGTCAGTCCTTTCTAATATGTGAGGCCCATGGATTGAATTCAGGTCATCAGACTTGGCAGTAGGCACCTTTATCATCTGAGTCCTCTCAGTGGCTGTTTTTGTTTTTGTAACAAGTTCTCATTATAGCCCTGGCTGGCCTAGAACTCTCTAGGTAGATCAGGCATTAATTTCAAACTTGTATTAATTCTCCTTCTTTGGCCTCCAGAGTAACAATGGGATCAGAGGTGTGCATCATCATGCTTGGTATTCTTTTTAGTTTTAGAAACTATCTTTTGTAGCCAGGCCTGTTGCAGGCCTATAATTCCAGTTACTTAGATGGCTGAGGTGGGAAGATCACAAGTTCAGTGCCAGCAGGGGCAATTTAGTGAGAACATGTGTCAAAATAAAAAGTAAGAAAGGGCCTGGCATGATAGAACCTTCCTTTAATCACAGAACTTAAGAGGCAGAGGCCGGGGAGATCTCAGTGAGTTCTAGCGCTATATAGTGAGACTTTCTCAAAAACACAAAACAAAACAAAATGTAAAAAGGGCTAATGGTATTATCCTGGGTTCAATAGATAGTACAACAAACAACAGAAATCAAAACAACTGTCTTTTGACTTTTAATGACATTTACCCTCTTATTATTAAAAAAAAAAAAAAGTTTTAAGACAAGATCTCAAGTTTTCATTAGTTGGCCTGGAACTTGCTATGTAGACCAGACTATCCTTGAATTTACAGAGATCTGCCTACCTTTGCTTCCAGAGTGCAGGGATAGGCATGTGCCAACAAGCCCAGCTCTAAGCCCCCCTCTCATTTTTAACCAGAGGGATAGCTCTCCCTTTTTTTCAGTGCCAGGGCAACCCAGGGTCATGGGCATTCTAGGTAAATTCTAATGAAGTTCTGAAACATCCTTATTTTTGAATTCTTTTTTTGGAATGTGGTGATATATTTTTTAATTTTTATTAATTACAGTTTATTCACTTTGTATCCCAGCTGTAGCCCCTTCCCCAGCTCCTCCCAAACCCACCCTCCCTCCCTCTTCTTCTGCTATGCCCCTTTGAATTTTATTTTATTTTACATATTTATTTATGTATGTGTGTGTATATGTGCAGGCATGCACATGCCACAGTGTGCATGCAGAGATCAATGGACAAATTGAGGGAGTTTTTTTTCCTTCTATCATGTGCATTTCAGAGATCAAACTGAGGTTATTAGGTTTGGTAACAGGTGCTTATAGCCATTAAGCCATTTCACTGGTCCTTCCCTCAAGTGTTTTGAGACAAGGTCTTGAATATTGTTCAGGCTGACCTTGTCTAATTGATCCTCTTGTCTCTGCCTCCACAGTGCCAGGATTACTGGTATAAAACATCTGACTGAGCCAGGCATGTGAAGGTAAGAATCAACTTTTGTGGAATCAGTAGTTTTCTTGTCTTACATAAGTTCCAGGTATTAAACTTGGGTCACTGTGCTTGTGTTGGGCTGACAGGCTTGTATTTGATTGAACTGATTTTACCTGCTGAGCCATTTAAGCAGCCCTCATCCAAGGCAATTTTACTTTGAATGGGATTCTGAAAACTTTATACCCTAGCCGGGTATTTTAGAGGTCCTTGTGGGCATTCTGATAGGATTGAGCTCCATAAATCAGAAACTCCTCCAGTGTAGGCTCTTGGCCTCTTTCTTAGTGGCTCAGTACCACACACTCACATTTACACAGACTGAAGGAAACAAGCTGCATATAAGCCTGTGTACTCCTTTTTATTTGTTTATTTTTTGAGATAGGGTCTCATGAAGCTCAAGTCCTCCCAACCAAAACCACAAAAACCCTTAAAAATAACCAAACAACAAAACCTGGGCATGGTGCTACACTCAAGAGCAGTGGTTCTCAACATTCCTGATCCTGTGACCCTTTAATACAGTTCCTCACGTTGTGCTGACCACTAACCATAAAATTATTTCATTGCCACCTCTTAACTGTAATTGTGCCACTATTATTAATTGTATTGTAAATATGATACGCAGGATATCTAATATGTGAACCCCAAAGGAGTAGTGACCCACAGGTTGAAACCTATAATCAAGAGAAAGATAGGAGGATCAAGAATTCAAGTTCATCTTCTATTACATAGCAAGTTTGTGACTAGCCTGGCTGTATGAAACTCTGTCTCAAAAACAACAACAACAAAACAAAGTACCCACTGAAAATACAGTTAAAGCAAACAGAATTATTAAATACAAGCTACTTTCCTTTGTTTTTAATTGTCAGTTTTCTTTAGTGTTTATCAAAGTCTCCAGATCTATTCTTACACCTAGTGCATTGAATTACCTTTATGTCACTGTCTTAGTTTGGGTTTTATTGCTATGAAGAGACACCATGACCATGGCAACTTGTAAAGGAATTTTAATCCAGCAACATGGCTGCTCTGATCACATCCAAAGACCTTCTAGGTCTGTGTGATCCAGCTGAATGCAAATATGCCTTTAATATACACCCTTAATCCCAAACAATGAAGGTAAAGTTAGTTTGTAGAAGTCAGCACCTGTATTTGAAAGTGATGTCTAATTGAGAGGGAGAAAAGGTGACATATCAGAGAAAGATTTGTCAGAATGAGTCAGAATGAGCTATGACCAACTTGCACGAGAACAGAGAAAAGGAGTCTACTTAAGGGAGAGTGGGGCAGAGAGAGAGGAGAAAAGGCAGTTTTACCCAAATGGTTGTACAGAGACAGGTTGCAGAGAGAGAACAAGCTAGACACAGGTGAAGACTGAATGAGCCAGAGAATGAGAAGGAGCCAGAAGGTTAGAACAGATTGCTAGAGTTAGTTTGAGGCCAAGCATAGCAATTCAGTCAGAAACTGAGAAGCCAGTTTGAATCAATCAGCTTGGAGAGGAGTTTGAATCAGAACAACTGAGTACCAGCCAACCAGTGTTCAAAAAGAGCTAAAAAGGGTGAGCATTCTAGGCCCAGGTTAGATTGTATGGAGGCTGGAAGCTTCCAAGACTAGGCCTAGGTTAGCAGATGGAGGCAGTAAGCCTCCCAGACAGCAATTACATCAGACAAATAAAAGTTACTTTTACATCAACTCTTATAAAGGAGTTGTCTTACAGTTTCAGACATTTAGTCCATTATCATTATCATCTTGGTGGGAACCATGGCAGTATACAGTATACAGGCAGACATGGTGCTGGAGAAGGAACTGAGAGTTCTACATCTGGACCTGGAGGCACCAAGAGGAGACGATGTGCCACACTGAGTGTAGCTTGAGCAAATATGAGACCTCAAAGCCTACCCCAACAGTGACACACTTCTTCTAACAAGGCCACACCTACTCCAACAAGGCTACACCTCCTGATAATGCCACTCTGTATGACCAAGCGTTTAAACATGTAAGTGTATGGTGGCCATTCCTATTCAAACCACCACAGTCAAATTTCCATTCTTCATTTTAAATTTTGAGATGAGATGCTTATGTTTCTAATGCTGGCCTCCACTTTGCTATATAGCTGAGGATGGCCCTGAACTTCTGATCTTTCTGCCTCTACCACCCTAGGGCTGGAGTGATAGGTGTGACCTCAGAGCTGAGGTGACAGTGGACTATCCTCACCTTTTACTTCTATCCTAATATTAAGCAAGATCCTAGGTGACAGTTGAGAGTCTTTCTGTGTTTTTGTATCCCAGAGTTGAAATGGCAGCTGAATGACTTCCCCTATTCCCTCATTCTGTCCAGCATAAAGACCAAATTCTTGGATTTCACTTGAAGGCTATCACCTGGATCTTCATTTCTTATTTGTGTGCTGGAGCTAAGGTGGCTTTTGCTGTCTGCTGAGCTTCATGCCATGTCCCTGAAGTAGGATAAGGTAGAAAATACCAAATAGTAAGTACTGGTTTATTTATTTGTTTAGTGATTGACCTACTTTGTGTACTGCCCATCTGCCAAGCAGGACTTCACTTGCTGCCTGGAAAAGAATGACCTGGAGGAACAGCTGAAATAATGCATCAGTGCCCTTAACAACCTGCTGACTGCCAAGTATGCTTCTGCTTCTGTAAAATCCTGCAGGCCCCACGTCGTGTCTTTAGGGTATAATATGACCCAGACCCAGAAAGACATGCATGGTATACACTCACTTATAAGCAGATATTAGCCATCTTTCCAGATTAACCATACTACAATCTCCAGATCTAAAGAAGCTAAACAACAAGGAGGACCCTAGTGAAGATGTTTAATTCTCATTCAGAAGAGGATAGATATCGGAAATGGGAGAAGACAGGGAATAGGACAGGAGTCTTCAACAGGGGTCCTCTGAAAGACTCTACCCATCAGGCTATTGAAGCAGATGCTGAGACTCATAGCCAAACTTGGGCAGAGTGCAAGGATCTTATGAAAGAAGTGGGGGATAGAAAGACCTGGAGGGGACAGAGCTCCACAAGGAGACCAACAGAGCCAACAAATCTGGGCCATGGTGGGGGGTGGGACCTGCAGAGAATGATGCACCAATCAAGGACCATGCATGGAGAGGACCTAGACCTCCTGCTCAGATGGAGCTGATAGGCAGCTGTCTCCATGTGGGTGCCCTAGTAATGGGAGCAGAAGATGTCTCTGACATGGACTCTATTGCTTGCTCTTCAGTTACTTCCTCCTGGCAGGGCAGCCTTGCCAGGCCACAGAAGAGGATGCAGGCAGTCCTTATGACACTTGATAGGCTGGGGTCAGATAGTAGGGGAGGAGAACTCCCCCTTTGTGAGGACTAGGGGAGGAGGTGTAATGGAAGTTTTAGTTTTTTTAAAAACTCAGTTATGTTATGTAAATATGTTTCTGTTTTAGTTCCAAGTATGGGATATTAGTTGGTCTTTAGTTTGTGCACAACTAATAATTGTCTTGTGCAGGGCATTGTCTTTGCCAGCTGGTAACAGCCTGCCTCATCCTGCATGGAGAGGGGCATGGTCTAGGATTCTGAGGGTATAAATATGAGAGCCCAGAAAGAGAAGGTGTGGCACGTGGTGGTGGTGCATGGCCAGTGGCAGTTTGGAGAGACCAGTGATGGAAACAGACAAAGAGAAATGTTTCAGCACAACTGATTGGAGGATACTGTGTGCTGCATTTGCTGTTGATGGAGATTGGTATAACCCCCAAAGAACCCATTGACCCTAAATAGCCGGAAGAAGTAAAGAGGTTTGCACCTGTCTCTTCCCACTAACTTTCTCTCTCCTACCTGGGGTTGGGAGGTTGGAAGGGAGAGGCTATAAGGAACACCAAATAAAATAGAGTTTAAAAATGAGCCCAACAAGGGGGATGGGGGAAGAGGGAGGGATGGTAGGACCAGGAGAAGAGGAGGGAGGGGCTTCAGTTGGGATTTAAAGTGAATAAATTAAAAAAAATAAACTTAACAAAAGAAGAAAATGGCCACACTCTTACTATCTATCAGGTAAGGCAACAGCAGAGTGTCCTCACTAGAGCTTTGGCTTCTGTTTCAGTGCATGTTCATTCACAGTCAACCTTCATGTGCCTTCTGTACTTCAGGCTCCCTGTACTGACCCTGTATACACAGGGATACTATGCCAGCAGGTCCCTACTCCCAAAGTCTGCTACATCTCTTGAAGTCTGTAAAAGTTGGGTTACAATCTGAGGGTTTCAACAGCACTCTAAGCACCAAGAGCCTCCACATGGTCAGGATGATTTTCTTGTGCCTTTGCTTTAATACCATCCTCAGGCCAATGTCTGAGGCAGTGAAGACCCATTCAAAGTGGTTGAGGATTTAAAAGGCTCTTTTCCAGGAGCTGGCATGAGGCTGGTACCCCTTGGTGGTTTGTAGAGGAGGCTTGGAGGCATCTTTAGGGAAAGCTGGGCAAGATTCTGCCATTTGGGGGTTGACAGGCTTTTACATCATCACTAGCACTTTATGAAACCTGTCTACTCATAGCCACATGGCTACTGTACCAGGAGTCAAGAGAAATCCTCTCTTCATCATGGAGTTAGAGAAACTGTGTGGCCTTTTGTCTAATCATGGTGAGCAGAATGATATTCACAAGAACCATAGGAGATGACTGTGTGGAGGTGGTATTGAGGGCTCAATTGGGCTCTGTGCTCTGTCCTCAGGAAGCTATTCTGTTGTATCTACCTGCTTTCTCCTGGGGTATATTAAAAGTGGTGAGGCTAGGTTGGAAAGCCTCCATAGCTCAGCTCACAACTGTGAGCCCAGAGGATACTGGGGCAACCTTGGCTTGCTGGTACATACATCTCAGCCATAGGTACCAGGAGGATGGAGAATGAAGGCAAGACCCTGTACTAAAGCTTGGCCTTCAGTTCTGTCCATGGAGCCCTGCTGGTTGCTCTGGAGGACCTTGTTTAGAAGTGTAACTGTCACCTGGGCATGGTCCTGCACACCTGTAACCTCAGCACTCTGGAAGGCAGAGGCAAGTGGAGTTTGAGGCCAGCCTGGTCTACAAAGTGAGTTCCATAACAGCTAGGGCTGTTGTTACATAGGGCTGTTGTCTTGAAAAACAAAAACAAAACAAAACAAAAAAGTCTGTCATGCTTTAAATGAATGAAAATATTCTATAGGGTAGTAATAGGTTTCTCTGCTGATGTAATTAGCCAATTCATGCTGAATTAAAAGTATAAAAGCAGGTTGATTTGGGAACAGTTCTTGGGTGGTTCATTAGTCTCAGAGAAAGAGGCCAGAGAAGTTGCCATGCAGATAAACAGACAGGGAGACAGATAGGGTGGATAGAGAGATACACAGAGAAAGGGAGACAGATAATATAGAGAGGGAAAAGAGGGGAGGTAACTAAAATGTCTGGATTATATAGGGAAGAGCCACTGGGGGAAGGTCAGCCCAGGCCCTATGCTGTAAAGCTGAGGGTAGGGGGCAAGTTATGCCAGCCATACCTTGTATCAGGTAGGGACTGAGGGACGCTAGGACAACCTGGAGGCCAGGTGTGCTTTGATGTGTTAAATAGCCTGCTTCTCCCTTGCTGCTCCTGATTGCTGTTGAGAGACAAGAAGTTGGAGATCTCCTGAAACGTGGATTGGACTGGCTCGAAGAAACCCAATGATCCTAACCAGCAGGAAGCAGCTAAGAAAGAACTGCGCCCCCCCTCACACTAACCCTTTCTCTCCCCTACCTGGTGTTGGAAGGGATTGGGGTGGAGTAAGGAGAAAAAGTTAAAAGAAATGTAAATATTGTCTACAAACTCATCAACTCTCCTTCCTAATACTGGGTGGGGCAGGGGCAGGGTCTGGGTAAAGCTAGTTGATTTCCTGTCCTGCATGAACAATAAAGCAGTAGATGTATTTGTGTGGAAGGTAAAAGCAAGGGTGACCTGTCCTTGTACTTCAGGATAGTCTCAATGACAATGTTGTAGATTCAGAGAGTAGGCTAGAGAGACTGGTGGTCAGACCCAGGCTCCTGACTGAACCATTGTGGGAGACCTCAGAAGTGAAGATGACAAGAGAGGCAGGAAAGGAGGGAAGGGTGGAGCAGATGGTGGGGTAAGAACCTACAGGGTAATGTGGTATGATGGCTAATATTGTCAGTTCAACTACATCTGGAATTAACTAAACCCAAGAAGTTGGGCCTATCATGGAGGGATTTGATTTTTCTTGGATTATTGGAAGTGGAAGACCCACTCAAAATCCAGACCATTTGAGGTCAGAAGACCCACCCAAAATTTGGGCCATACCTTCTGGTGACTACACACATAAAAGAAGGAAACTTGATTTTTGCCTGCTTGCCGTCTTGCTGGCAAGTTCATCTCGCTTATTCATGAGCCATTTGTTTGCTGATGTTAGAACCCACTTCCTTGGGATTCGAACCTAGAGAGAAAACTAGCAGCTCTCTAGGCCCTCCCTGGAACTCCAGTGTAAGATTGGGCTACTGAGATATCCAATCTCATAGATCCTTGGCCTTTCCATCAGGAGATAGCCATTCTTGGTCTACTTGGACTGCAGCTTGTAAGCAACTCCAATACATGTTTTATCAGTTTTGTTGTTTTATAGAGCCCTGACTAATACACATCCTTCACGGTCCTGGACGGCAGGAAGAAAGTGACAAGGAGACAGGTAAAATTGTTTGAGAATTTAATGGCAGGGTTGGGGTAGGTAAATCCTAGCTGCTGCTCCTGCCTTCCTTTGGTCAGGAGGCTACCTATGGGTGGGATGAGGTTGACTATGGAGTACTGAGTTTGTTAGGAGGTATCTAGCTAGGGCCCCAAAATATTGCTAGGCAGCGTGAGGTCTCTTCCAGCTGGTGAGGAGGAATGTCAAGTAGCACATTTAGGCAGGGTGGCCACGGGCAGGTCCTCTCACATGGGTGTCCTTGACCATTTCCTTCAAGTTCTGAGGTGCTTGCCCATAGGGAGTATGGTTTGCTCATTGTCCCTCTGAGGCCCAATGCTTCTTCCCATTGTTCCTAACTCCCATCTTAGGGAGTCTAGAGGGACTTTCTGAGAGGTGTTTTTCTTCTTTCTGCAGGGGCTGGAGGGGAGAGGGTGATTCGGATCTGCGGAAAGGTGGGTGGCTCAGATAGGGCTAATGGCGGCCCAGAAAGTAGTACAGTGAGTTCTGAATGCCTGGTAGTTGAGGAATGTAGCTTGATTCGATGGTGGTGGCAGTGGCAGCAGCAGTAGTGGCAGCGACAGCGACAGCATAGGACAGAGAAATGGGACTGGAATGTGTGGCTAAGGCCTATGGTCCCAAAGTCCTTCCAATATGGGGTCAATAGTTGTAATATAGGGATAGATGGTGAGGGCAGATGCAGGAAGGGTGGCCAAAAGGGGCAAAGTGAAGATGGTGTAAGTTCTCAGAGCTTGTGAGGATTCACCCACTTGTACGTGCCCTCATACTGGAAGCCCACTCTCTTCATCAGCTCATCTGCCTCTGTGGGCCCGCGGCTGGGAGGCAAAGAGGAGACATGAGTGAACTTTGTTCCTGGTAATTCCTACTGTCATGCTTCATTTGGCTTGCCTCCCTTAGCTCCCATCCTTCCCTTACCTGCCATAAACATAGGGGATGGGTTGGGGCTTCTCACGATCAATCTTGTGCAGCAGTGGTGTGAAGATACGCCAGGCTTCCCTGAGTTCATCACTGAAGGGATACAATGTAGGATGGAGTGGATGCACATAGGGATGTAAGGAGAAGACCACTTCTCTTGTGTAACTGTATTAGGCTGGGGGGGGGGGTCCCTCACCTGCGAACAAAGTGCATCTGGCTCCCACAGAAGACATCCAGGATGAGGCGTTCATAAGCATCAGGGAGCTTCACATTCTGCAGGGTTGGGGAAGAAGGAATGTTGCTGATACTACTGTATTCACTCACCAAGGGCCTCCCTTACAGCCTTCCCAGATGATCCTCCCTGTGGGAACCTTGTATCTGTTGCCATAGGTCAGGTCCAGTTCAGATTCCTCAGGGTTGAAGAACATGCCAGGCTTCTTGGTCATCATTTTGGTGTATACAGCCTCATTGGGCTGCACACGGATCACCAGCTCGTTACGCTTGCACTGCTGGTGGAAGATGTCGCCTGCCACATCGCGGAACTGCAGTCTCACCTCAGCCTTGCGCTCATTCAGGGCTTTGCCACAGCGCAGGATGAAAGGTACCCCTAGGGGGTAGGGCTGGCCTCAGGGACTGGCTTTTCTACTGTCTTGTGCTGTGCTGTGCTGTGGTGTGTGTGTGTGTGTGTGTGTGTGTGTGTGTGTGTGTGTGTGAGAGAGAGAGAGAGAGAGAGAGAGAGAGATCTCCTGTGCCTGTGCATATGTGTGAATGTGTACATGTAGAATAAGTATGACTAGGGTGGTTTCCCACTTGTGCTAACCCTCCTCTCCAGCATCCTTTACCACTGAGCACCATGTATCTGAACACACCAAGAAGTGTCTCATTGAGGGTACATCTAGGCCTACCTTGCAGGGTCCTAGAGGTATCACCTACCATCCCACCGTTCATTCTCCACATAGAGGACAGCTGCTGCAAAGGTGGCAGTGGTGGACCCATGGGGCACTGTGGGATCATCTAAGTACCCTTTGGTAGCTTCTCCTTCTCCATTTGGGTTCCCCACATACTGGCCAAGGACGACATTGCAGGTTTCCACCTCTGAGATACATTTCAACACTTTGACCTGTGAGAAAAGTGGGCAGAGTGGGCTCCTTGGTAACACAGAGGGTGTAGGGGAATGGACATGAGCCCAGCGTCTTGTCATAGAGTGGCTCGCTCTGGGGCATGGCTGCTAGGGGACCTGGTAGACCAGCCTCCACCTACCTTCTCATCACGGACATCATCTGAATCTGTGGA